TATGATATCATGAAAACACCAAACCTTTAGCTAATGTTATATTTAAAGGTAAAAATCAGGTTTAAAACATGAACTAATACCGATTAAATAAACGTACCCGTCTCCGACGACAACGCATTTAACGGTCTGCATTGCGCCGCAGCTAGCCCGAGAGCCAGCTAATCCCAGATCGATGCTCATCATGCTGCTTTCCTTTTAACCGGATGGTCGGAGCTGGAGATGAGCACTCATCAAGTCGAGGTCAAGCCAGCCGCACCTTCAATTTTCCTGCTCCTCTATTCTTAATATTACGGTACTGGTGCCGTCCAGAAATCCAGAAACCCACTGAAAGACGTCTTTATCCTGTAGCTTTGAATCAGTTTTCATTTTATTTGCAAAAATAAACCTTTACCTTGTGATTAATAAGTAATACAAGTTATTATAATAACGTATTAGACATACATGACAAATTATAAAGCTGCGACATTGAAGAAATATTTCAGTAAATGTTCATTCACGTCTCCCAGCTCACAGTTAGTGTATAACATATAACTAAAATACAACATGACAAAAATAAAAGTCCGTAAATACTCAATCTAATCAATTTATATACAGTATTATCGTATTGCTTCCATAATATTGTACATTTAGAAACAATGTAGTGTTGCATATAATGTGTTATAATGTTATATAATTTTCCATAATCAATAATTCTAATTAAACACTTGTAATTTATATTCTAGAGTCTTACACGTTGAGACAACAGTTGCTGTGGATTGGATCTATTTATATGGAATTGAATTGAATAGTTCTGGTGATGTATTGGTTTCACTGGACTGCTATTCAGGTTTACCCCAATGACTCTAGAGTACTGTACAGTCATTGGTTTACCATGACTCTACATGTGGCGAGTCTTACCTCATATCTGTACAGTTTTAGAAAAAATAAAAACAAAGTTCACTCATATTACATTATGTATAATACTCTCAAATTTAGTAGATGATTGAACAAATCCACTATTCCAGTTAATGGCACCTCAGAGAACTGTATATGGCTTGATAAAATAAATAACTAAAAACAGGAAAAGTCCACTCAAATTACATAGTAATATGTGTAATACTACCATTTGTGAACTGTAATTACAGTAGTTTTCTTTATAAAAGAATATTTCAGCAGATACCTACAATAATAATAATAATAATAATAATAATGACAATAATAATAACAATGATGCACTGGACCAATTCTGCAAAAAATTACCTTTCCACATTCATAATTTTGCATTTTTTTTTGACGTCCTCACTGGATTTTTTACTTTTTCCCAGAATCTCCATGATTTTTCATTTTAGATTACTTTAAATAAAAACATTTGATTAAATGAAAAGTTATACAGTATGAGAAGATATATCTTAACTATAGTTACCTGTGCTGGTTAGAGTTAGTGTCAGCTTTCATGGGAATAGAGTGAAAGCTTTGTGTCACAATGTAAGGAACTGCAGGAATTATTGTTTTGATTGGGTTTTTATCAATATCATCAAATACAACCCCAATTCCAAAAACTATGAGAAGCTCTGAAACGCAATTAAAAAGAATGCAATTACCCACAGGCTTTTAAAAACACTTTTTAATTCAAAATAGAGCATAGAAAGAAAAAGATAATTTCCAAACGCATCGCTGAAAAAATAGTAGTTAAAAAAAAGCATTAAAATCGCTTTATAGTTTATTGCGTATTTATTTATTGCGTATGTATAATTTATTGTATTTATGTAACAGAACCTGTTACTTCCACAAATAAAATGAAAAAACAATTTAAAAGTTGCAGGATAAAGACTTCGTGCTGTTCTTTCTCAGAGTATCTGGATCAATCGGTACTCGTATATACCGCGAACTTCACGGCAACTTCTTAGACGACAAAAGAACAAAACAAAAACACTTAAAAACACTGGTGTGGATTCTGAAGCCGGGATTGTTGGGAAGCGTCCGACTTTCTTTTTCTTCTTTCCCTTTAGGGGTCGCTGTCGCTCTGCACCTCTTCTGTATCTCCCTCTGTCAACCCAACCCTCCAAACCAGTTCAAATTTTTTGCTTTTCCGACTTTCCGAGTGGGGAGTCCGACTTGAAGGAGAATTCCAGATTAAAATTCCGACTCGCGATTCGGGATAATTTCTTAACTTTAACTGGATCACTTTATTTAGCAGTTTAACCCGATGTTATTCAGAAGATCCCTCCCTACATTGCCACGCCTTCGTGGGTTGTTCTGGAAGCTATGAAGCAAAACAGCTGTCACCACTCCTAAGGGAAATAAAAAAATAAAACAAAATAAAAATGAAGTTAGCCTGCACCACCAGCAGATGGTGCATCCGGTGCCCTGGGGCCAGACGCCCAGACAAACTCTGGGCATGTGAAACATCCTAAAAACAAACCATATATGCAGCTGAAACAATGTATTATAATGTAATACATGTTTATCTTGGTCCTTTAAAAGAAATAACACGCTGAATGAGGAAATGACGTAATTTGTGCATTCCTATTCATTTCTTTGGACTTTGGAGAATTTTCCCCTGAACTCCGACTTTCAGGTAGTGCGTTAAAATAGGATTTGAAAGATCTCTCGGGCTTTTTCTTGGTAATTTACTCTAAAATTCGAATACGTTTATTAATGCAGTAAAACAATATTGTGGTTTAATCGGTTTGAATCCATGTGAGTTTTTACACACGCAACATAATAAACTTAATGGGTGGCATTTTTGTCAAATGATCAAAAGATTCAGGCTCATCCAAGCAAAGTAATTACATCAGTTGTTGCTGAATTTAATCGGTAATACTGTGAAGGTTTTATTAATGTTCAAAATAGCTAATTTCTTACTTTATGACCTGATGTTTGCGTCTTGTATTTGTTTACTCTAGGTTTAGTCAGAGCTTCCTTCTCATGCATCCCTTGCCAGTTTGCTTGTTGCCTGGTTTTAACCAAGTAATTTTTGGTCATTATTCTTTTGATACTGGAGGTCTATTAATAGGGTTTTCTGGCTTTGCTCCTCATCTGTACTCTACATTTACAACTTTATGTAATTTTTTTTTCATCTTTTATCATTTAATAAACACAAATAATTAAAAACTAAACTTTCCCAATGGGAAACTTTTTCAAATGAAAGATCTAAAATACAACACAGTAACTACAACATTAATTAGTTATTTCTTTATTTACTTGCATTCAAATTTATTTATATTAAAATATTTGTTGTTATCTGTTAGAAACAAGATTAATTTTAACTCAGTTTAAAGGAATTAACAGCTTAATACGTACAGCTACCTAAAACTAAAGCAATCTAATACAATCAAACCTTCACGAATGGTGACTCTGTTTGAGACTATTGTAATTTCTAGACAGGCAGTCAACAAAGTGTCTTGGCCAGGCATTAAATGTGATTTAATCCATTAAAAGACACCACATCAACATTTTAATTGAGATTTTAAAATCTCAAGTATCCTAGTATCTACTAAAATGTCCTGTAAAAATGGTCTGGTGAAATGACTGGAATGAAAATAAGCAAATATCCAAAGGCAAATATTTAAAGACCAATAGAAACCCTAAAGAACTTTTTTTTAATATAACATTAAACATGCTGGACTGTTGGGCTGTTTTAACTGAAGTATTTTGCCAGTTGAGTATGGCAATAATCTTCCATTGAGTAAACTGCACTTGGATCCCTTTTGTTTCGGATCAAAGGAAAACGAGCAGAGCAGAGTCTGTTTTACAGGAATTTATTGGCTTTTTCAAAAAGTGACAATAGCTTTTGTCCATAAAACTAAAGAGTCACAACATTGGCTTGAATTAAAGCACAGCTTGGAGTCTGAATACAATACCGATGAGCAACATGTACTTAACCCCTGATCTAGTAGTTCAAATACATTTTGTAAATAGGCAAAAAATATAACTGTAGCAAATTCTAATCTTAGTTTTCAGTATATGATACATGTACATGCTATCAGCATTAATTACAAAAAGCTAGGATTGTGGGGAGATTAAAGTAGCATTAACTGCAGAGGTAATAAACAAAAGATATTCATAGTGTTAGTTTAACAATACAGTGAGTGAGTCTAACTTCTGTGAAGAAAGATACAAAATAGTCAAATCACATGATTATAACAAAAAGATGAGTACACTGTATACTACACCATAACCGACAGTAGCTTTGTTACTGTTATTAGCAGGCATAAATGCTCTTTTAGTGACATTGCTTAGCCAGTAGTGATGCTAAAAATAAAAAATAATAACATATAAATCAAATGTGCTCCACAAAAAGGTTTCGGATAAATGCCCACAGAGCATTAAAGGCTCTCTTGTTCCCCATCACCAAAACACCTGAATATTTCTCTTCCAAATACAAAAATCAAGTTTTCAGCTTCGCACTCCTGGGCAGCCATACAGTCGAGACACTTCTAGGGGGAATATTGCAAAGAGGAAAGAAAAAAAAAAAACCACAAACACAACGGGTCCAATTGGAGCCAAATGCATAAAATACTGGAGATTTTTCAGGGATTCGTAGCACTGTTGGTGTCAGCAGACCTTTTCCCCCAGTCTCAATTTTCTCTCTGTGCTTCAGGCTTCATTTGATCCATAAGAATGAATTAACATGAATCATGTTAGGGCCAAAATTTAATTACTGGCAAAAAGGTTATGGTACATAAAAAATGGAGGCAATTAAATTTCACAGATTGTTACTTCAAGGTGTTTGTTGATAGCAAGGAGTGACGACTGCCTTCATAAAGAGAAAGTGAAGTTTTTGACTTTTAAATGGTTGATATGAACAGCAGGGAAACAGCAGCAGACTGTCAGCTGTGTTTTAAAGGTTTGAGACGACAGAACAAAGGATTTCTTTTCGGCTAAAATACAGCATGTGTGCAGAGTGTATTTGGCAAAATTTCTTCCACTTCAAACAAACTACCAAGACTGTAAACAAAAAACAAACCAAAAAACTGGACAACCAGTGGAAGAAAAAGTTGAAGACATTCCACGGTCCGTTCTACAAAACATCCAATCCGTTTTAGAAGGCCTCAAGAAATTCAGTCTCGTCTATACAGTATGCATTGTTAGGAAATAACTAGGGTCTAAAATAGTCCACACTCTTTTACCCTAAACCTGACCCTATGTTGGAGTTTTCATGGAAACGGTTGGTATAACTGTTGCAGCTACACATATAGAAGGACAGAATCTGAAATACATTGTTTTTGTGTGTCTGTGTGTGTGTGTGTGTGTATACTGGTGTGTTTCTCCTGTGTCGTTAGCCACCCTCACCACTAGCGGTCATGCTCCCCTGTAACTGTTCCAGTGAAGGAAGTCTTAGAGGAGAGAGCACTTCTTCCCCTTCTTTTTCATAGGTGGAGGGCACAGGACGGCCCGGATGGCCTCATCGAACACAGTTTTAAGGCCACGCTGAGTCAGGGCTGAGCACTCCAGGTACTTTACAGAGCCTGAAGACAGGAAACAGAAAGGCATTGGTTTATTATTTGAATCTGTCTTCCATGACCATTTACAAGAAAAGGATCAGTGACAACTGAAGCCATTACCAATCTCTTTGGCCATGGCCAGTCCTTGGGGATAGGTAATGGGAGAGAGTTTCTTCTCCTTCAGCTTCTCCATGGTATCCTTGTCATCTCTCAGATCCAGTTTGGTGCCCACGAGGATTATTGGAGTGTTGGGACAATGGTGTCTCACCTCAGGATACCACTGCACAGACACAGGAGTTACAAGTTAGTGGTGTAAATATTCAGATCAGTCAGTGTCATCTTTAACACTTTATGTTATCAGAGCTCCGACTTATTACCATTTTTAATCAAGTAAAAGTTTTCTCTGCTCATCCAAACTCATATAGGGCCTTTCTGTGTGGCATCTGCATGGTCTCATCATGCCTACGAGGGTTTCCTCCCACACTTAAAAGGCACATACGTTGGCATAAGTGGTGATTCCCAACTGTCTGTAGATGATGTGAGTTTGAATAGTTAACTTTAAGCCCTGTCACTGCGCCTGTGTCCAGACGTTAAACTCAGCCCACTCTACAGATAATGACAGAATACTCAGAGTGACTTTATGACATCTTGAATAAACAAATACATATTACCACAAAAAAACAAAAGGTGCAATTTAAGGGGGAAGGCAGAATTAACACAACTGTCAAGCTGTGTGTCACCAAGAGGAAGTGTGAAACAGCCAAGGCTTGCTTCTTATCAGCACAAATGAGGCTTAATGTTTGCTTTCTAAACCGTTTACTTTGCTCCCGTCCACTCTGAAAACTCTGGACAAAGCAGTAGGTTAGCATTGCTAAGCTAAAATGACTTTGGATTAAAGCAAATGTGTTGGTCGCTTAGACCCCTTCCCAATGGAAACTGGCTAGTGTGGACCTGGTGCGAACTTAAGATGGTAAAACGGGTGACAAGTTGATAAATGTGTTTAGAGTAAGGCCTAATCCCATGACAAGCCTAGAGATAAATAGGTTGTAAAATCACCAGCAGTACATTCATTATGTGGACTTATGCTTATTTCCAATTCTTTAATTTAAGTGTATCATTTTCTTTTTTCACCAACTCCAGAAAAACTGTCTCTTCAGCTCATAAATACTCAGATATTTTCATCAGCTTGTTGCTACCAGCGTGTCTATGTTGTTTAGTGTGGAGCGGGCAGTGTAAAGTGGGTTTACAGCTATCCACAGCATCCACATTTACCACTTACTGTAAGAGAAGTGAAAGTGAACAAGACAGTAAAGCTGTGGGCAAGAAAAGCAACACAATGTTGCTGTGTGAAGCTGAGGGGAACTGCAGAGTCAGATAGTAATTTCCTGTGGTTTATCATTCCCTTTGCACTAAAGTAATCATATGACTCATGGCATATATAGTGAGGTTTGTCACACTGCTTCAGCTTGTTTGTGTAAAAATATCCACAATGTTGAGCAAATGTATCTGTAGTCCAGCCTCCATGTTATTGGTCCGTTAACTATTTTTAGACCAGCAAGGAGCACAAAGATCGTTGACTTTCATACAGTGGTTTAATGCAAGGAGCAAATTCTCAAAGGTAAAGATTAACTGATAACATTTATAAATTATTTTAATCAAAATCAACAGATTAACGTCAATTGTTATTTCCGTGTTTTTTGGAAAATACGGCACACTTAAAATCAATCCTTC